GAATTAGAGACAGTTTTCAGTTTCGGTATCTTATGGCCGCTACTCCCGTGAAAATGCACCGATTGACCCCAAATTCATGGAGATGAAAGATGACCTGAAGTGTAACACTTTCCAATAATATTATTGGTTAAGTCTGTGTAGTGTCTGAATAACAGGGCAAAAAAATTTTTTTTCGTAAAAAATTTCATTTTTTTGAAAATTTTGACCCATTTGACCTTGAAGTAAAGGTCAAAGGTCAAATCCAAGGGTATATTTGAAATCTACACATATGACTTTTGGAAAGCCGTCTATAGAAATTTTTCCCATAACTCCTTCCGTAGGGTAGATAATTAGCATTTAATTTTACCATTTTTAGACAAGGGTGCATTGTAATGAGTGCCACACCCAGACCCCAATACCGACAAAGCCCAAATTTTACGTGGAACGAGTTGAGATTGTAGGTGACCTAAATCCATGAGATGGGTACGGGGGCCCTTACCGTCTAGGAGGAGAAGCGGTAACGGTAGCCGTCCGGCGGAGCCGGCGGAACGATCCGGACGGGACCGAAACCATGTGTACCGCCAGCGCTAACGCTGGTGGTACAATAAAACTGCAAGAATGAATATAAAGAAAAAAACGAGTTAAAATCTGTGATACAAAACTTACAATATTCATAACTCAGCTGAATGACCCACTGAAAATATCTTTAAAATTGTCAAAAAACCTTCAAATATTTCTTTTATTAAAATAACTAAAAAAATGCTGTCAACCCAGGACATATCACTGTCATCTTTCACAATAGGATATGCACCTAACCTTTCACTTTTATTTTTGAAAAAAAAAATGTCACCAAGAAATTATTACAAAATGAAACTTTATCATGTATATAATTCAAAATTCAATTACCTTGATTTCAAAGTTTTCTACAACAGGAAACTAAAATCATAACAAAGAAAACTGTGAGCAAGTCAATGATATCATACCACTCCACCATATTAGTACCAAACCATACCAGCACAGGACATGTTTAGTCCTCCCAGGTTTAAAGTAGTATTCATCCAAAATGAGAACTGTAAGGCAACCTGACCAGCCCATCATCCAATAATTAAAGCCCCTATTCACCAACCTGTGCCCCAGGTCACCTACTGACCAAAACTGAAACACTCATGCCCTTGAAAATTTGCCATTAAAAATTGTTATCCTCTTTGCAATAAAAACTTCTATCAGGGGTGTAAGCAGGAATATTATGTTTAATACACTAAGTCGTTTGATATTTCAAGCAGTTCAGTTTACACCCCCAGGGCCCCACTTATATCCCTTAATCACAGTAAGTACATGTATGTTAGGGCTCATTCCCATAGATTTTAGATTGATCTATCCCCGTGGGGAGTCTCACTAGATTACTGTCAGATAATCTGGCTTAAATGTCAGTCCCGTCTACTACAAGCTGTGAGGGGGTAATTAACTTTTGTGCCCGCTCAGCTGACAACTATTTAGCGTGAACCCCCAGGGAGTTAGGTCGATCTAGTTGGATCAATCTAATCTCTGGGATTGGGGTCTTAAACACCAATAAAACCTGGATTAGTTTGTGTCACATAAAAACTACCATGATATTAATCCATACAATGGACATAAATAGTAAACCCACCCATCCCTAACACACACACACACACACACACACACACACACACACACACACACAGGCATGTGAGAGTATATTGCAGTAGAGACAAAAAGTGGGCAGATTGTATTATGATTATCTGCCTGCAGAGTACTAATGTTTCTGAAATGACTGGCCAGTCACTAAGAACTAAATTTTTGAATTTAAAATGGAATAAAATATATTTTAATCTAAGTGCAGGAATTGATTAAACACTGATTCCTGAGTGGGAGAAAATTGCCCTTTTGCCCAAGAAAAAATTAATTTTGACTGGTATATCCCATAAAGGATACCTTTGAGTATGAGTTTTTAACATGTCAATACATTAAAATGACTTAAATTGGTCAAAATAGATTTTTGTCTCATTTCTTTTATGTGAGATTCTTATCTAGATACTAGTGCAATTAAACACCTTTGGAGCAAAAATTCCCTCTTTTGTTGTCTAACACACCATCCCAAGCACTTTTATTTTTAAGCTCTCCGCCAGTTTATATAATGATGATGTTCTATCAAATAAAGACATTATTTTCCTCTTTACTTATGTAATCAGAGGTTAGCATTTTAAAAAGATTCCCGAGCACAAGTACTTATTGTTGTGTATAAATAGGCATTAAAATGGTGTTGATAGCTGTTCAGGTGAGAGAGTTCATTTGAAATCGAAAATGCAATTTTCACCACAAAAACCCTGCTGTTGCTCGCATGAGCAAATTCATCCCTATGTATTTTTGATGTGACAGCCATTATCTCATAACATATGGCAAAATTACTGTTTATTTATGTATTATCTAAGTGGATAAGGATATGGCTCCCAATGTATTGAACCACCTAAAGCTTTATCTAGAATAAAATAATAAAATAATTATATATATATATAAAGGTGAATCAAAACATCCTTATCAGGAACCTTATTTTCTTGTGTAAATAAAACACGAAGTACATGCCATTTAACTGCACGATTTACCTATATATTTTGAACAAAAAATTCTAATAGCAGCAATTCTAGTTTGGTGTTTCTCAAACATTCTGTGACCACACCATTGCAGTCAAGCTGTTCTTTAAGATTTATAAAATAAATAATGCTTTGGGTACAAAAAAGTCTATTTTAAAATTAAAATGAATGGCCCATTTTGCAATACATGTTATTTTTATGATATAAACAAAGAAAAGGTGTAGTTTTAAGACTGAAAATGCTAGAGGCATGTCTCTTGAGGACTGGGACCATGACACAGATCTCTATCTATCTAGCACAAAGTGCCATTCCCTACCCAGAAGCAAGCTCTCAAACAATCACTGGGTTCAAGCCATTGTACAGAATTCTGCACAGTAGCGTTATTTTCCAGGGAGGTAAAAATGTTTTGCATCATTATTTGACCTTGTAGTATCTATTGTAATATCCAGAAACATTCGGAAGCCTGTCAAATTAATGGGGATTTTTAAGTGGTGTGTTAACATTTCACGGGAACATAACTGGTAGACAAGCAGTTGAATTTTATCTTATTCATAGCACTGTCATGACACAACTGGATGGCTTTTTAACAGTGTGCAACTTCAGGAGGTAAAAGGCAAGAAAAAGATAAGAAAGCCCCTGTATCCCGGTGGATGTACTAGCTGCACCTCTATGGGCTTATTTCCATTGAAACTATCAATCTACGTAGATCAATCCAACTCTGAGGGACTTTTGCTGAATAAAATCAGTTTAATAGATTAACACCCCTCCTCCTGCTGTTGAGTAGAATACAGAAAAGTTGATGATATATACGAGTATGCTGGAAACAAAAGGGACTCTGTTAATCTGTTAAACTGATTGTATTCAGCAAGAGTCTCCACAAAGTTGAATCAATCTACGGAATCTGGTTATTTCACTAGGATTCATGGAATGAGCCCTATATTTAGCACATGTATGTGAAGATAAAAAGTATTATACATACAGTATACACTATAAAAATAAAACATGAAACTTTGCCATACACCACCATATCTTCTATCGGTAGTTGTGGATGAGAGCTACGGTGTGACATCAGTATAAACACAGGTATTACACTTAAGGTTTGCTGATGGAAATGCGGCCTACTTGAGATATAAGATGGCCTTATTCTGTAACATTAGTATGTAATATAAGAAAGGTGTGGGAGTCTGAGAGAATCTGCAGTTATTCAGACTCAAGAGAACAAAGTCAATTAAGTCACATTTCTTTTTTTTCGAATGTGTGGTGATTTGCTTGATTAAGACTTGTACAAAATTAATAAATGCAGCATTCACATTAGATTAAGAAAAAACAAGCAGTAAAATGGTAGAGTTTACAACGGATATGTGATGTTATCTCGCAGTGTCAACGAGACAGGACTGAGGCCAAGGCGACGCCCAGGCTTCGAAAAACTGCTTCTAGCAATGGATTTACGAATACCGTATAATCAAGCAATCTGTGTTTTGCATAAGAATCGCAAATTACAAACGATACGATACCTCTTCGTTGAATTCTTTAGCAAGTTGCTGCTCCATAGCTAGCCTGTGTAATAACAACTTTCGTACATCTGCTTTTCGAAACTAGGTCGTTGCAGCCACGGAGTAAACGACACACTTGTCTCTTTGTTGTGTCACACAGATTTATATCATGAAAAATACAAGACTGCACTGTAATATAAAAAATATTATTCATATGAAATCATTTATGCAATTTGTTAAAATAGCATATGCTAGTTTTGATTGCCATATGCTCATGCTGCTGAATGACATCGTTTCATTCTTTCAAGTAAATTCAAGCTGTAACCATCTCATCGATGATCTAACAGCCGGTGGTTTTGTGCAGTAGTTTTCTCCATCAATCCATGCACAAATGACCTTGTCAAGCCTTGCTGCGGTCATATGCATGTTGCAACACAGGTACTGTATGCTCAAGACAACTTTCACTTTGTTTTACTTGGGAGCTCTTCACCTCTGTCACCTCTTCCTCGGTTAATGGCACAATGAGCTATTTTTCGCATACTAGACGGATCAAGAGGACAGCGGAGCGTGCATGCTAGCTTTACGAACTAAGTCAGTCAAAATTCTCGGTAAAATTTTCTGGGTCGCTGCTTTGGTACAGTGGTACATTGTAGGATCACAACCCCCTCTTAATTGTAGGGCTAGAGACGTGAGAATGAACAATTTCATGTACTAGTAAGACAATGATAGCTACATCTACCTGTACATACTCGGAAAATGTATCTGATTTTGTGTAATTTTTTAGCCATCTCATTTAGATCAAAAGCTATTCAAATTTCAGTGATTCCATGTTTGTCAATTTTTATATTTTAATATGCATGTGAAATAGACAAAGTAAAAAAAAAAAAAAAAAAAAAAAAAAAAAAAATATATATATATATATATATATATATATATTTTTTTTTTTTTTTTTTTTTTTTTGTCCACAGATGCATGCAGTACAAGAAATACAAACTGATACAAAGCACATCCCAATAATCTGACATGATGATTAAAAATCTTTGTTCTTTCACTTCCCATGTATTTTGTCTTGCTGCCCTTTGCCATCTTTTTAGAACTTAAATTACTTGGGTAAGGTCTGGAAAACTTTGTCATTCATGATGTTGTTCATTTTGCTTTGCGAGGGGGTGTACCAGACAATTTAGCAGATTACATTGTCAGCACCTTAGCGAGATACCCCACTGAGATATGTTGTTCCTGCTAGTATGATAACTTTTGTTTTGAGCACAGTCTAAAACTTCTAAACCTTCTTTGGTTGTAAACTAGACCTATTTATCCACCTCTCCAGTTCGTTAAAGACTGGCAAATTACATAATAATGTATGATGAATTGGTGCTGCACATGCAAAAAAGTAAACATTTAAAAAAGACTTGAGAGAAACAGTAGAAGGTTATAGGGTGTGACTGAATTGCGTAAAACACCACAATACAGCACAATACACTTGAAAAAACAAGTCCAGTTGCAAGTAAACACAGGGAAGGGTAATTTCAAACAAAATAGGGTGATATAAAAGCAAAATATATTACTTAGTACAAAATATATTACTTAGTACTTAATATCATTGATACAACTTAACATATCAGCACCATTTTTTCATTGTCAGGTCAGCTGGCTCTTGGCTGGTAATATTTCCAACAAAAGCCACGCGTCAACATGGCTGCCGACCCGATGATATAAAAGTCTTGCCAATTTGTTAAGTAATATCCACGACATTAATTACCTAGTAATGTAGTTTCCTTTTATATCACCGTACTTTGATTTCTTTTGAGTAATTGCAACTGGAATTGTTTTTTCCAGTGTATTGCACTGTGTTGCGCTGTATTGTGGTGTATTGTGCAATTCAGTCACACGGAAGGTTATATAATGCACAGACAGAGAAGAGAAAGTATTCCTTTACATCATTTTTTGGGAAGTTTGGGACAACAGCCTTTGGTATTACTTTAGGTTATGTTATTTGAAAACTATATGATGGGATTTGGTTGGGTTTAAGTGGCAAAGAACTTCACATGTCAAATGCAAAACAAACCTTTCTACATTTGTAGTACATGCACTAGTACATATCAAGGTTTTTGTGGTTTTTATATTCATTAAGCAATCAAGAGTGCCTAGATGTCAGGTACACGTAATTAACGATGTCATTGCATGAATATATATGTCATGCAGGTTTCATTTAAATTATCTCAAATAACAATATTATATTGACAGCTGTAGTGTCAATTGGTATTAGACAATATCACCAACAGTATAGTAAAGCTACTATGTTTTAAGGAATTTACAAAAAATAAAGAAACTTATGAGTGTGATAAAAATTCACTTTGACTGTGCATATTTAACCAAAAATAAAAATTCAGGTACGTTTCATAGCTTTTTGAGGAGAGTGTGGTCATTGTCAGATTCTTGTACCTTTTTTAATCTTGTATAACATCATGTAGTGTCCATAGCCTTATTTAAATTGAAAGTTCAGTCCACCATGTCTGTTCAGGACTGGTTTCTCTATTGTAGATTTGCCTACTTGCCCCCTCTATGGAGGCAATCATTGTTGTTAACCTTTACGTCAAAGAATTGGTTGGAGTGCATAAATAGTGGATAACCTCTTAGCAAATTGAAAGATACACGAAATGGTGGGAAATAAGTTATCTGCTTTTAACAAAGTAATTGTGATATTTGTATTAGGTTACATTTGCCATGTGATGTCCGAGCGCTGCACATAAAGTCATGTGCATCTGTGCGTGAGCATCTGTGTGTGGGTGGACAGTGGCTGTGTGTAATCTTCTGAAATGGCACCTTTGGCTAATGTTATCTAGGTTTAAGTTGATTGCTACTGGCCATTAGTGTGACAGTGTGGAAATGAGGAATATGTCAGTTGAAATAAAATCTGAAAGTCTTGTGTAACATGTATGAATACAAATGTGAAAGCAGATTATTCATGTAGCTACTCTGAGGCATTGGCATTTTAATGCTTTTTACAAAATAATAATAAAAAAAAGATTGCTACAAGAAAATATATGTACAACAGAAAAAAATTTTTTTTAGAAAAAAAGGACATGCTGAATGCTTTTGGGATTTATTGCAAATACATTACCTATCACTATGTACTGGTATAGTATATGTTCAGCTTTTTCTCTAAATATTGTATTACTCCAAACTGGAATTTTCAGTGCTTTTCCATGCCCTCTTCCCTCACCCTCCATATGACCCCCCCTCCCCCCCCCCCAATCTCTGATACCCCCCTCCTTCCCTCTTTTACCCATTCACTCCATGAGAACACTGCTGTTCAGCAATGATGGTTGTCTGTTCCTTTTGTGTATTGATCCAGCCACATATTACAAAGCATTATCCACTGCATATTTATAGCATATCATCATTTATTTAGACTAAACCATGAATATTTGATTATTTGTTCAATTCTGTGTGCTGCATATTCTGCCTTTTGAGAACGCAATTGAACGTGAATTTTAAATTATGCATAGTGTTGGCTTCCTTTCACATCATTATATTCAGCACTGGAAGACCAAGTTCCTTGCAGCTGGGTGTTTTGTCACTTAGATTATCTATTGATGATACAATGAATGTAATAAGGGACATTCCATTTCAGATGTGGTTAGCCAAGTTGTAAGAAGACCACGCTACAGAATTTATTGGTATGTATATCTTTATTTTATAATGTGATGAAGATATTTGTCATGTCTGTTTTGGGAAAGTATAACTGCAAATGTATACGGCATTCAGTTAAGAAAAAAAAAACAAAAAAACTCTTGACTATGCCAAATGTCCCAGCTGCATTTCAAATGTTTTTTTTCCTAAATTTGGAGTCAAGATTTAAAATATGTTTAAACATCTTAAATATTCTTAATATACATGCATGTTTTTGGTTTTTATACTTATAACATCAGTCAATCATATTACTTTAATTGTCAAATTTTCAATTATAATACAATTTCTCCTTTAACCTCAAGTAGTGAAAAAAAAACTTATTTGTTCAGTTTTACGTCAAAGGTAATTAAAAGATTGAACACAATGAAAAGTAACATTTTATAGAAGTTGGTGCATGCATTATCTTATTTTCAGGGGGTTTTAAATATGCAAAATGCAGTGAAAACAAATCGTTCATATTTTCAATCACCAGTTTATGTGGCATATGTTGCAAAATTACAGTATCAGTATTGATATTTCAGCAGTTCACCATGAATATTTCAAATGTTAACTCCAACAAATGGACAACAGTAGAACAGCCAGAACCAGAAATCAATTGAAACTCTCTATGCCAAAGGTTTTGTTTGACTGGTTTGCACATAACAGTCATGCAGTCATAACAGATAGTGTACAAGCTGTATCAAATATCTTGGAACAATGTAATAATTATGTATAATGCATATTGTGTGGTAATTGCATTATCTTTTTTTTTTTTGCATCATTCCTCTTTCTTTTACTTGTTATTTTTGGGGAAAATGTCGTTAATTTTTGGGCATTTTAAGTATTGCTGAATTTTGGATTATAGTCTTGAAATGAAATTTAATCAAGCAGGCAACTGATAACATTGATTTTTTATGCAGTGAACAGTGTTAGTATTCTCATTTATTCATTTATTACAGGTTGTGCAGGCAAAGTGGATATTGTTTAGAATGTGTACATAATGGGTGCATTGTACTAAGCTGTGTAACTCTAACCTTAGATTTGACCTTTTTATAGGGCTATGCTTTTTATTACCAAGACAATTATAAGATATGCATACATTGTTAGAAGGGAACCTTAGATAAGGCATAAAAGTACCACACCAACACTGTAGCTGCCAGATTTTAAATCTATCATGGTGCAATTTTTTTTTTTTTTTTTTTTGACAATGATAGCTTTTTCTTTTTCTTTTGTGCTTTAAGGTCTTTAATTTGTTTACTGTAGGCAAGTGAGGACTGGAGATACTGTAAACATATCTTTACTGGTATATTTAATTGAAAATAATGGTTGATGTCTTACAGGTCTGTGGTCCCCCATTGCTGCAGATACTAACAAGATTGACAGCATTAATATGGAAGATGTGACGGTGACCATCAAGCAGGAGCCCGAGGATGACTATTACTCTGGTCAGTGTGGGCAGTATGAAGATAATGACCAAGTATCCACACCACTCAGTGACCACACCCCAGCACACAGTGGCCCCTCCTTGATCCTGTCGTTGGCCCCCAGTAGCAGTAAGGTGGTGCGACCCCCCTCAGACCTGCCCTATACCTGCCACACCTGTAGGTTTGAGACCTCGGAGCCAGATGTGCACCAGAACCATGCCAACTTGCACATTCACCCACAGCCAGTGTGCGACATCTGTATGCTGGAGCTAGAGGACTTTGACTGCTTGCAGACACACCGGCTGCTGCACTTTAACTCTTCCCTGGTCTGTTATGCCTGTGATGTCACATTTGTGGCCAGCACACCCAACCCAGAGCAGAGCGTGGCTTACCAGGGCCTGCTCCACCTCTCCTCCATACACGGAGAAAAAAATCTGAGTAGTGAGTGCCATGTGGTCATGTACTGCCCAGTATGCCAGCAGAGGTTTTCAGACAGCAAGGCTTTCATCTACCACATGTGTATGCATGCTGTGGCTGAAGTCAATAATTACTTCTGTAAATTCTGTGGGTTACAGTTCATTGGTAGGCGAGCTCTGCAGGCTCACTTCAGTGGCCCACGTCACATGGAGATGAAGAAAAAGCTGGCAGATGTGTTTGTGTGCGCAGAATGTCGCGTCATCTTTCCAAACCGTGACAGCTATGCCATGCACCAGTTACAGCGGGCGCAGGAAGAGTCGTGTGTAGGCAGCAGAAAGGCCCCCACCTCCATATGCTGCCCTATATGTGAGCCTACCCCTGTTCTGCTGAAAACTGTGCAGGAGTTTGAGGCACATTTACAAAACAAACATGTGCCTCCTGCACCTGCTGTAGACACAGGAAAGAGAGGGGGTCAACCAATGATCTGTAAGACTTGTGGAGAAAAATTGAAGGACTTGGACGCCCTTATGTTACATATGTTTGAGCACAAGGCACCAAACAGCCAACCTGGCCAGAAGGGCAAAGAACCAGAGGCAGTTGAGGAAAAGATTTCAACTGCCCAGTCCACCTCGCTGACCATTCCAGTCACCACAGCCAGCCAGGGTGAGGTAGACCAGCAGGTGCCCCTGTTGCTGAGACTGCAGGATGAGCTGTACTGTAAGTTTTGTGCTGGGAGGTTTGATTGCAAGGATTCCCTGGCCATGCATGTGATGACAGACCACTCTGAGGACATGTACTCTGGTGACATCAAGTCCAGCCCCAGGTCCTCCTCCTCTTCCTCCAGCATCAGTTACTTGGCTGGAGGGAGCTCAGCAGGCTACAATAGTTTGACCAAGATGAATGATGAGTTCGCTGCCCCAGGGACAGTGTCACAACAGCGTGCAGACATGCATCGAGGCAACATGCAGGTGTGTGGGCAGTGTGGCATGATTTTCACCTCCTTGGACGCACTTGCAATGCACATGATGACACATGCACACCACGACATGGAGGATGTGGAGAAGGAGAGACGCCAGCGAGGCGAGGGTCACAGTCTGTGGAATAGCAAAGAGCCCATGCAACCACAGGTGAAGAGGCTCAGGGCTGCCTCTGCTAGCATTGCTGGGGATGCTTTACCACTGCATATAAAGAGGACCAGGCCAGCATCTGCCAGTATGGTGGAAGACATGTCAGTAGGAGCGAGCCTGCGTAAAGTGTCATCCCCACACAAGGCAGTGCCCCCAAAATGCCCTGCTTCCTTGCAGAGCCATCCTGCTTTTTCGGAACCGGTGAATTTTGCACATCACAGCAGGGCTCTCAGCCTGGTGCCCTCGGCCAGCAACAAGTCTGCTCATACGTATGAAAAAAGCCACACCCCTTCCTCCGTCCATGTTCCAGCAACCAGATCAGCCAGGTCAGACTGCTCTACACCACTGTCCGAGACAGCGCAGATGAACCCAGACACCACGCATGGTGAGGCTAGTCCCAGCACCAGTGGGGAAACCTCCAGTATTGTAGACTTTGTGTTGGAGAATCGGGAGTCTTTGAAAATGTGCAGACACTGCAAGATTGTGTTTGCAGAGAAAACTCTATACTATTTGCATATGGGTTTGCACAACTTGAACAATGCATGGCAGTGCAATTTGTGTGGGCGTATTTGTAGAGATGCAAGGGAATTCTCAGCTCATGTTATTCATTTCTAGTCTTGATAACAGCCATTTGTTACCTTATTGTTTGTGAGCATTAGCTCTCTTTTATTCACCATACCCCGTTTGTCACCGTTATTTGTGCATATGGATTGCTTTAATTATTATTTTTTTTGCTTAAATGCAGATCTAGTCAGATGAATACTTCCCAAATGTTAAAATTTTATATGTGGTTTATATTGATGTTGAAAGTGGAAGGAAAAGATGCGCAGAAAACATTTTATTTTATTTATAAATAATTGAAAATAATCGTTCAGGTTGTGTATAGTGAAAAGCTTTGAATACATGTAAATTGAACACTTGGCACTTTTTGATTTATTTAAAACAATAAAGAATTGGTTTTTTCTTTAAAGCATTAATTTTTTCTCGTAGTACCTTAACTTATAACCAGTTCATTTTTAGCAAAAGAAAGTTAAAGACAAAAAAAGGTACTCTTCTAAATGGCACTTGAAATGTTCAAATATTTTGGCACAAAATTAAAAATCTCATTTGTATTAAAGAACAAATTTTCCGAAAGTTTTTGATGAAACAATTTGACTTGCAAATCAATATGCTCCTATGTAACATTCCAGTTTGTGGGAGTTGGTGTCAACACACGGAGGTGGTTTTGCGCGACTCCTTCTGACAGGAGACTTGGTAGTTGACATCATCCGTGTTATACTGGGCTTTCAGCAGAAACCTGCGCACGCTTTGGTTACTGGGGAAGGTGTATTGTATTGCACTCATCTGATACTTGAATAAAGTTTTCTTTGGATCCAAGTGTGGCAGTTTCTCTCTGTCACTCTCCTCTTCCTGTGGTGACAGACTGCCGAACCCAGACCTGCGCCTGTGGGGATGTCTCTCTGCGCCATGCTGCTGCCTGGATTTCTGTAAGGGATGACAAATCAAGATCACCTTTAAGGACTTAAAATTTTATAATTGTTTCCATTAAGATAACAAAACTTTCTGTAGATTGCATTTAGGAAATACTAGCACATAAACTACAATACGTTTATGTGGGTCATACCAAAATGTAAATGCTGATGTCTTATAAAGTCACTGACTTGTTTTTGTTTTCTGCCTGCCACACGGCGTGCTGTGTCCACTGCTAGCACAGTCTGTAAAAACACACCAATAAAAGGAAGACAGGGTGGCTTGTGTAACGCCTTCTCTAGGGCGGCACGGTAACGGCAGTGGTTCTTCTCATGGGACATCAACTCGGACAAGTCTTGGTAAATCCTGCAAAGAAACGATGCCGTCACACTTACAACACTTTCATTTGATACACACTTTTTCATTAGATGATTTCTGTTTCCTCAGGTCCAAGAATGTTATATTTTTCATTATCACTAAATAACTAGACTGCAACTAAAGGGATAATAACTCTTCCTTTTGGCCAAAAAATTAATTTTCCTGGAGTAAACAACAATTTTCCCTAACTTACCATGGTTAATGAATCTATTTTTACATTCAAAGTTAGTCCCTGGTTTTTTTCTAAAAAGTTTGGTTTTTGATAAAATCTCTTAAGAGATTATAACTGAGTACAGCCATCAATGGAGGTCACGTGATCTGAAGACAAACTTAGATATCAGAATATCTGAGATGGATGTAATAGCTATAACTGCCGTTTTTGTGGTAAAACAGAATATATTATATTTCTATGAGTTGTTCACAATGTTTTTATTATGAAATATAGATATCACATGAAGAGTTATTATCCCTTTAATGGAAAATGATTTTAATCTTACATAGAAATATCAATCATTCTGCAAAGTTTTTATTACATGTTTACATACTTATATTTCCTGGAGAATTTTTCTTTGACACTATTCCAAGTGTCTGTCAGCCTGTAGATGGGTGTAAGTTGAAGGCCTCCAAGAATGGCACGTAAAGAGTTGAAATTCTTCATGTGCCTCAACCTGTCTGCAACCTAAAATTACAAAATCAGAACCAATACTGCCTCTGAACAGCTCTTTTTGGGTTGTAATTGTTTGGATGTCAAATTTCAAGTTATATTTTTTTCCTATTCTCTTTTTTATTACAGGCAGGGGGGGGGGGGGGGAGTACAGATTTAGAACTGAGATGCCATTTAGCTAATGATGATGAGAGGATTTCTGATGGAAATTAAAAGAAAAAAAAAAACTAGCTAGTACTGATATTACATAGTGGTAATGACAGAATAAACATAATCAACCCTTGAGAATTCTGTATCTTCAAAAAATCTTACCAGGATAAACTTCACAATAATTCTTGCCCTCTCCTCGGGAGTGTCTGGGAGTAACACTTCAGTTGCCACCAAATTTGCCACACGGTCAAAGAAGGCAATTGCCATCATCACATTGGGGGCACGGACGTACTGGAATTGAGAACAAACATGATCACTTTTATCTTTATGAAAATGAAGGAAAAATTGGGGAAAAGCTCCAAATTCACACATACACATAAATACACACACACACACACACATTAAAAAAAAAGAAAAAACTTCTTCAAGTAAACTTATATTAAATGGAAATAATGTTAAACCAAAGAAAATCTACCAGAAAGTGGACATTGTAAACAAAACACTATTATTATAAGTGAGCACCTTGTCCTTCTGTGTCCAGATACAATCCACCAGCTCTGAGCTATGTATCCTGACCAACAGCTCTTTGTCTATCAGAGTCAGCTCTGTGGCCAAGGCATCCACGCTAAGGTCAGTGATCAGCTCTGGCCTTTCACACACACTATATCTATAGGGGAAGGAGCAAAACTTTTAATGCTACAAAACCATATGCCTCTCATAACAAAATGCATATTCAACCTTGCAAATTAAAAAAAAAAATAATTTTAACTTGTTTGCACTGAGAATTTATTAATGGCACAAATTTAAGGATGCCTGTTAAGTAAGTACTTGCATCAAATTATTGCCACTAAACTTGACCAAAAGCCACCATGATAGTATTTCAAATAGTATAATTTAAAGATATGTACCACAGAAATTCATTACATTATAAATTTAAAAATGATATTTGCACAGATATTTCTGCCTACTAGTACTTTCTGCACTGTACAGAATGAGGGGAAAATATTTAGTAAAACAAATTTACAAACAAATTTTAAAAGTTTTAAGTCTTTTTTCTGCTGACCATGAGATTGAGAGGGAGGGGCATGTGGGTTTCATTTGTACAGTATAAGAAACTGGTATAAAAGATTTATATGCATTATAAGAAATTCCCTCACTCTACTCATGTGTCTTTAAAGATTCTGTCCATTCTGATATTAAAATACCTAGTTTCAGTAACAACTTTATTGGAGTACTACTACGATCATTCCTCCTTAGTCATATTTGTATGTCACTGTAACCACATGAAATTGTCTTAAAGAAAAAAAGTACCCTTTTTTGAAGTAGGTGTCAACCCCTGCTGTATTGCTGGCAGCATGTATGTCATTTGTCAACACATCCTCCAAGTGGTTGTTGGCTGTGGCTCTCTGGTCCTCTGGGGACTGCAGCAGGTGCCCCAACCCAGGCAGCCTGGACAACCTCTTCCTAGCGCTGACAGAGGACGGTCTCCTAGCTCCAGACACATCATCTGGAGGTTCAGTGTCATGAGGCTGAGGGCCACTCACTGAAAACAGGTGAAGTTTTTTCTACAGACATGATACTAAAATAAAATGTGATTTAATTTTGTCAACACCTACTGTAGTTTGGAAATGCTAAATAATAAATAGCACTGGTGAAAAAAAATAATAGTAAAAAATCTCCATCCCACAGAAATATAAAACAATGCACTCACTTTTCCTGCACCTCTGAACATTTGGTCCAGTTTGGAGGTCTTGGGGACGGGACATGTCCCTGAAAACATCAGATCTCGAGCTTCTCTCACCATGGCTGGTCTTCTGGTAGTCTGAGCTGAAAACAAGGGTTGTTCATTATTTGGAGGCAATTATTTGAATGTCATTACTTTGTGTGGAGATACATACAGAAGTACATCAGAACTGTACACAAAACTGAAGTCACATTACTTGGGTTAATCTACACTATACTGCACTGCAACAGTATATTAATTAGCATGGGTATCATCTTTGATGTGTCCTTAGTAGGACACTGGTGTAATAACACTCAACATTCAGTGCTTCATTCTTTACTACCATGTGAATGTGTGCCAACACAGTGTGTTAATTAGATGCCAGGAAAATAATCTGCACTTGCCCCACCCACTCTCTAATTATTTTCTATCACAATTTTTCCATCCTTGACCACATCAAGCCAGGCTAATAACTTTCCACTCTCACTCTGCTCTGCAAATTCTTGGATTTTTCATAAGCTATGACATGCAAATTTATAAACTCAAAACTTTTGGTTGCATGACAAAAAATTGTTCATCTTTTTAAATGGATATTTAACGTGTAACAAATATACTGCTAATTTTGCAAGTTTGCCCTTAAAGCCAATATACCCTTTGGTATTGGTACCACAAATAAGAGCAACAATTGAATTAATAATATCATGGGACATAATGTTTTTTCAACAGTCTTTCCACAATATCTGAGAAATTGATTTCTTTTTCCCTATGAGGATTAACACAAGGACCAAAGCCATGTGTGGTCTGGTAAAAAAACATCTACGGTCACGTCACATATAGATTAAAAGATATAATGTTTAAAACACATGGTGTTTTAGTAGTTTAAATTTAGTCTGTAAATAAATACACATGTAGTGAAGTTAAATAGTCTACTAAATAAATATATATAAATAAATAAATGAACAAGAAAATATATGAATGAACTGATAAATAAACAAGCAAGAGAATTCATCAGCACACAAAGCAATTTGATAAAATTTTTTAAATTATATTTTTGTCCAATACCTCATTTTAATACATACACCCGTGCCGATTGGTCCTATCCACCATCACATACATGTGAACACACATAAACACGCACACACATACCTTAAAGCATGGGAAGACATCAGGCACTCTCCTTCTATCATCCTTCCAGCTTGGTTAATGGTAAAGTTCAAATCACTCTTACTCCTTAACTGGTGTATCTATTGACATTAAAGAAGAAGAAAACACGTGAACAAGTCAACCTGGCAATGCCATTAACAAGAAATGTGATCATCTTATTGTTTTACTCAAAGCGATCTGCGTCACTGTTCACTTGATCCCTAAAGGGCGAGTTAAGACAAATAAGCCACTTACTTAAACATCTCACTGATAAAAACAATGGATAATGTTATCTTTCACCTTTTTTTCTAAGCTTAAAAAATTACCTTCAATTACATGAGAGTGAGAGTCACGTTTCAAGTATGTTTAAATTACATCATAAAGTTATCTCAACAGAAACCTAATTCAAACATGTATCTAAAAACAAAGAGGAATCAGAAGAGCTTAAAATGTTATGTAATATAAGGCCATCTACCCCCCCCCCCCCCCCACCCCCACCACCACCACCTCCTCCCTCTCTTTATGCTTGCATACATGCCTCGGCCTTAAAATGTCTCTCTTCTTTTGTCAACTTAGGAAATAAGGATTTCAAACTTAATGACGCTGACAACTTCTTCCGTTTACATCTCTCAGCAGAAACTTCATCTTTGTTTCTAGGAAAAGAGGGTCAGAAGTCATGAATTAAACAGTTTCAACTCAAACAACTGTTATAATACAGGTAAGCTACTTGAATAACCTATTTATATTTCGTGGATTTCAAATTATACATGCTAGCTCTAAATTATCTCCTTTTAGACAAAATATTTTAGCAAATGGTCTGAATTTTAAAGGATAAATAAAAGATAGCAAATGGAGATTTTAAATAACAATAGACAATGTAACATTTCAGTACTCCTTACTGAATTTAATAAAAATCATACTGCTATTGGAAAAGAAAGTTCCCTAACAATGGAAGGTCAGCCAGGGATCAAAAGACCTAATTTTTAAGTCAACACTTACCCCCAATACCCTATAAAAACCAGCCAACAATATAAACAAAATCTTTCTTTCTAGAAAATGTTGTTTTTTTTTCAGTATGATGCTTTAAGATTCTAATAGATATAAAAAGATCAAAAATTTCAGTCAACCCCTATATAAACAGGTCACTAAAGCAGACCACAATCTCTCCAACCCTAACAGCAGAACGTACCTGTAGTAATCCTCCAGAAAACTTGCCCCTCCTTTCAGCACTGTGGGCACAGACAGCATGCGTAGGAGCTGTGTCCTGTCCATGTGGTACCCCAACCCCCTGTGACCCTCTTGTCTCTGGTACTTGGCCAGCACACTGCAGTCGGACTGAGACCCGTGAGGGGTGAGGGTGTCTGAGGTATTGGGGGAGTATAAACCAGTAGAATTCAGCAGATCAGGTAGACACAAGGCACCTTCATCTTCAGCTCTGGCATTCATTTTATCCACTAATTTTTCTTTTAAACTATCTTCTAAAAGCTTTAGGTTTGAGACACTTTTGTCTTTCTGATTTTTAAACTTTTCAGAATCATGTGATAACAGTGGATCAGGTGTTTCTACTTCTTTGATATCATTGCAAATCTCAGGTAGTGGAATTGTGCTTACAGAGTCAATATCTTTTTTACTGAACATTGTCGGCACTTGAGACAATTGATATGCAGCTTTTGAGAGGAATCGTGAAAATGAGCTCTTTTCAGTGGCAAATTTACTTTCCCTGTCAGCAAAACCATTGTATTTTTCCACTAAACATTTGACTGGCTGCAGGCTGGAGGAATCTATTTCCCTCTCAGATGATATCTGCTGTGTTGTCTTCCGGTGGGTGTTCCTCATTGTGAGTGTCTTCGCTGTTGTGCTGGTTCTGCTTCGGCTTCCTGCTCCTGCCATGATGGTGTTTATGTCTGGGGCAACAACAGCTGCAGCAGAAGCAGAGCCTGCTCCTAAAAAATCTCTACGTCTCTGGGCTCTGGAAGGCTCTTCTTCATCTTCATCTGAAGACTCTGATGAGGAGACATACTTTGTAGTAGTTACCCTAATAACAGTGAGGTTCACATGGCTTTCAGCATCTTCAGTCTGCTGTCTGTTCAGCACAGCGACATCCTGGACCCAACTTTTCCAGATCCTTTCTGAGCGAACCGTTTCTGCATATTCATAATGACGGGCTGTGCCATTAGGTAGGTCTACATGGATCCGCTTATACTTCCTGTCATCTTGCACAACAATATCTGAGGCATCTAGTGGCAGAATACTTATCAACTCCACTCCTTCTAACTCAGGATCTGACTCTGTCCATACCTCTGGCTGCTTTACATAGTCAGGAAGACATTTTTCTGCAATAAACAAGGTGTCAGCTGTGAGAGCGAGATGAACACTTCTGATCCCCTCACCCTCTTCTGTGATTTCCATGAAGCGTGCCTCCTGGAGAACAATGACCTTTCTGAACTCCACATACTCGGGGGACTTGAGCAGCCTGTACATCACCCCTGGCTTGAAATGCCACAGGCTGTTCATCTCTGCTCACACTAGTCTGACCTAGCTCACGTATACACACAGCTCCTACACTGTACAGCTCTCACCTGGAGGAAACAAAAGATTGTCATTTCTTCCATTTCAAATTGACATACAGTGAAACAATTCAAATTCACGGTGTTTTAAACATGATGTATATCTTTAAAGAATTGTTCTGGAACATGTGAGAATAGAAAATTTTAGGTGGAGATGAGAAGTTATCCCCAAGCACTCTAGATTTGTTTCTTGGCCCATCATGTGACCTTAATCTGTAAATCTTCTTCATAACAGAGTTATGTAAAAATTTTAACTTTTTTATTAGCCCAGGGGGATAATTGCAGCTGGATAGAGCCTGATGGCGCAGCCCATTTCACATCTGACATAAATGATAACTACACAACTTAATATGCCAGTATTCTACATTATTTTTCAATAAATTAAAGGTAAAAAAATACTACTAGAGTCTAGACTGCCGATCTAACATTATATGTATGTGTCAAATAAACAATATATAAAAACAAATATATTACTCACCTAAAGAGAATACATATTCCCAATATTCTGAAACAGAGAGCTGGCGTTTACATGATGTTTCTTTCCATTTCCAAGAACAGGCATGGACTTCAAGCAGTCCTCTTATGACGTCAATTCGCGGTGACCATAGATGGCAGCATCACCTAGTACGAAGGTCCTATGACCAAGACAAGCTTTTACAAAAGACCGACAACCGCCTTTTTTTAAATCGAATTTCGAAATGCAGTTACACCCTTCTGTTATTAATGCATCCATTGTTGTTTCAGCTATCAATAAAGAACACCGATATCATGAACTCTTCGAAAAATGGCCGCANGTAGTTACCCTAATAACAGTGAGGTTCACATGGCTTTCAGCATCTTCAGTCTGCTGTCTGTTCAGCACAGCGACATCCTGGACCCAACTTTTCCAGATCCTTTCTGAGCGAACCGTTTCTGCATATTCATAATGACGGGCTGTGCCATTAGGTAGGTCTACATGGATCCGCTTATACTTCCTGTCATCTTGCACAACAATATCTGAGGCATCTAGTGGCAGAATACTTATCAACTCCACTCCTTCTAACTCAGGATCTGACTCTGTCCATACCTCTGGCTGCTTTACATAGTCAGGAAGACATTTTTCTGCAATAAACAAGGTGTCAGCTGTGAGAGCGAGATGAACACTTCTGATCCCCTCACCCTCTTCTGTGATTTCCATGAAGCGTGCCTCCTGGAGAACAATGACCTTTCTGAACTCCACATACTCGGGGGACTTGAGCAGCCTGTACATCACCCCTGGCTTGAAATGCCACAGGCTGTTCATCTCTGCTCACACTAGTCTGACCTAGCTCACGTATACACACAGCTCCTACACTGTACAGCTCTCACCTGGAGGAAACAAAAGATTGTCATTTCTTCCATTTCAAATTGACATACAGTGAAACAATTCAAATTCACGGTGTTTTAAACATGATGTATATCTTTAAAGAATTGTTCTGGAACATGTGAGAATAGAAAATTTTAGGTGGAGATGAGAAGTTATCCCCAAGCACTCTAGATTTGTTTCTTGGCCCATCATGTGACCTTAATCTGTAAATCTTCTTCATAACAGAGTTATGTAAAAATTTTAACTTTTTTATTAGCCCAGGGGGATAATTGCAGCTGGATAGAGCCTGATGGCGCAGCCCATTTCACATCTGACATAAATGATAACTACACAACTTAATATGCCAGTATTCTACATTATTTTTCAATAAATTAAAGGTAAAAAAATACTACTAGAGTCTAGACTGCCGATCTAACATTATATGTATGTGTCAAATAAACAATATATAAAAACAAATATATTACTCACCTAAAGAGAATACATATTCCCAATATTCTGAAACAGAGAGCTGGCGTTTACATGATGTTTCTTTCCATTTCCAAGAACAGGCATGGACTTCAAGCAGTCCTCTTATGACGTCAATTCGCGGTGACCATAGATGGCAGCATCATCTAGTACGAAGGTCCTATGACCAAGACAAGCTTTTACAAAAGACCGACAACCGCCTTTTTTTAAATCGAATTTCGAAATGCAGTTACACCCTTCTGTTATTAATGCATCCATTGTTGTTTCAGCTATCAATAAAGAACACCGATATCATGAACTCTTCGAAAAATGGCCGCATAGCAATGAGTACTTGTATCTAACGCGCGAAAAGGTGTGTTTTCAGCAAGGTCCGCGCGCGTAATATAAATTTGACAACTTCTCTACCCTCGTGTCAGTCTGTTCAACCTGATCAAGTGACGTGGAGCTTTTCATGCCAGCAGAATCAAATCACTTTTTCAATGGGTGACTCTGACAATTCTGCTTCCCCAAGTCCCGTCAAGACGGCGGCCAAGTTGAAGAAAAAGTTTGCTCCCGCGGCAAGCGGCCCCAGTACTCTGTCTATGGTAGTGGATGCCATTACCACACTCGATGATGGCGCCAAAGGGTCATCGGTTCCCGCCATGAAGAATTTTTTGGTGGAGAAATACCAAGTCGACCCAAATATGGTGCGAACTCGGCTCCGTAAAGCGCTAGAGAAAGGGATTGCTGAAGGAATTCTTATCCGACCAAAAAAACACATAGAAGCTGAGGGAAACAAGGCAGGACTAAGCGGCAGGTACAAACTAAATAAACTGCAAATTGAGAAGGAAAGAAAGGCAAAAGAAAAGAAAGTTAAAGAGGCTGAGAAGAAGAAAGAAAAGGCGGCAGCCGAAAAATCCAAAAAGGTTAAATCTTCCAGCAAATCAGAAGAAAAATCTTCCAAAACCAAGGACGGGAAATCTGTAAAAATTAAGAAAAAAGTAAGCGACACTGATAAATCGCCTAAACCCAAAAAGAAAACTAGTAGCGAAGAATCCCCCAAGAAGAAGGTCAGCAAAACAAAGACGAAGATGGACTCTGACCAAAAGAAAACCCAAAAGCCAACAAAAAAGACGAAGTCCCCTGCCAAACCCAAGATATCCACGGGACAAAAACTCGACTCAAAGGTAAAATGGCATCTAAACAATAGGCAGTAATTAAGAACTACACATGCATAAATACCTGACGAGATGTATGATATAGTAGTTGAAAAACTGAAGTGCAAGATCATACATAGTTTCACTGTAGAGAGTTGATAATGAATATTGTTCAGCCAGGGCGATTTCCAGTCCAAGATACGAGCTGGAAAACTTGTTTGGACATATTATATCTTTAATGATAGTGAGCTCATCTTGCACATTTTGCGCGAATAATTTGCCCTTTTAAAATACCTATACTCCTTTCCTGGCTGTTTATAATTAAGAAGTTATTGTATTTATTTTTCAGAGTAAAGAAAAGAAACCCAAGGTGAAGAAGGCTTAGGTGTTAGTTCCACAAGGGAAGAGCAATTTTTTTCTTTTTTTTTTTTTTGGGGGGGGGGGGGTAGCAGCAGCTGGACTGTTTTAAACGTGTTGGATACATTTTAGCTTGTAATGCATTTTACCTGTGTAGATAGACAATGATGAACTGATTCTGGATAGTGGTGTTGAGTTGTGGAATGTAGATTAGATAAAAGGTGTTTAATTGATCTAATCCAGTTGATCTACACTGCTTATATATCTCATTTGCATAAATTGGACAATAATGCCATGGATATGTACAATTTTAACTGTCATTGAAGAATGTTTTAATAAATACTTTGCCTTAGTACAAGAGCAACAATGTGTCTTAAGCTTTTGTTTCTAATCACACATCAATTTTTCAGAACCCCTTTGGAGATTTGGTGCCAAAAATTAATCTTGCTGTTGGTGACATCCAGTGTTTAAAATGGCATGTATGGATGAATACACGTCTCGAACCTTTCTTTATCCTGAATTCAATAAAACCAGCATATGCTTTTGACCACTTGCATGCACCTTCACCAAGGAGGTTGTTTTAAGTCCCATTTTTACTGATAGCAACATGGAAAAAGCTGAAAATGAATTTTGGCATTTTTCAGAAACGAGTAATGAAAGATAATATTCTGGTGGTGATCCATTCGTTAGTTATATAGACTATTGGAGAAATTAATAAAAAAAGTTGATAAATTTTGGAGAAATTTTCAGGATAGGCCTATGTCTGAGTTAGACTAGATTTTAGGGATACTTGTGTGAATTAAGTTGATTAGTGGATTAATAAACGGATAATGATGACTGAACTTGTTGTAGATCTGCACTCTCTGAGTGTATTTTTTAGTTATGGAATGTTATAGAGAAGTTGATGTTCTTTTATAATTTTTAGAATGCTAACTTTAAATAAAGTCACCTTGGGGATTTGTCACCCTAACAAATTGGATAAATGTTCAAATATATTTGTTTATTCGTATTAGCATGAACGCTATTATGGTAATTGTGATACTAGCTACATTTCCGAGGTCTGAATGAACACTGGTACCATGGTTACAGCCATCCAGCTGGCAGGATTCATAGCAAGTCACTTCTCCTGTGGATTTACCATGGTAACTGTCAGATTTCAAGTGGTCGTCTGCCAGCGTGGCATTTTCAAAGAAGTCGCCCCTTTCTTTCATGAGTAGGAATTTTTCCGACTTCTTGACAGGGCGATGCTGTGATTGGTGTGGTAAAGGAAGAACCTCCATACAGCCATGCAGAGAGACGGGCGTGCAGCCACGGTGGACGTGAAGCAGCGAGTCTGTAACGGAAATAACGACAAGGTGAATTTATTGGAGTCTGTACTGTACTGACCCCCCCCCCCCCCTTCGATTTCTGGTCCCCTCTTGAAATTTGAATTTTGACTTGCTGTATCACAGTTCTAAACCGAACCAAATGCCACCGTTCGCCTTCGAAAATACTAAAATAATTTTGGGCCCCGAACCCCACGCCAAGTGTTGGGGGGGGGGGGGGGGG